GGTATAGTCATAGAATTTCCATGTGGAGAGGAAGCCAAGGCAATATCAGGAAATAACAGACTGTTTTAAACTTAGGAAGATAAAGGTAAATCTCAGAGTAACCACAAAGAAAATTAATAAACCTATTCACCAAAATGAAAAAGAAGAAAAATCGTAAAGACTTAGTATGATGGTCAAGGTTATGTGTCAACTTGACTGGGCCATGATTTTCAGTGATTAGGCAGTTATGATGTAGTTTGGCAGTTACATAATGAAGTAGTCATCCCCAATGATGAGATCTTATATAATGTAATCACCTCTATGATGAGATCTGCTTTGAGTAAGCAATCAGTTGAAAGGAAGTTTCCTAAGTGTGTAGCCTGCATCCAAAATACGTGGATATTCTTGTAGAGCTCTCTGGGTTTTTGCTTGCTCTGAATCCTAAATCTGGGCATCATCATTATCTGACCTTCAGTTCTTTGGGCTTGAGCCAGTACCATACCATATTGCCTTTCAATCTTGGGATTCATTAGCCTCCAAGGCCTATAAGAAAGCAGCCTGCTGTCAGACCTGGCAATCTTGGGTTCATCAACCCCTGCAGCTCCTGAGTCAGGAGAAGCCTTCAGCCTGGCATTTGATCCATGGACTTGCCAGCCTCTACAACCACATGATCATTTCCTTGAGACAAATCTCTCTCTATATATTAATGTACAAGCTTCACTGGTTTTGCTTCTCAAGAAAATCCAGCCTAAGACACTCAGTAAATATAAAATCAACAATGAAGGAAATGAAAAGAAAATCTGTAAATAAAAAGAACTAAGCGTGGAAAATTAAGCAGAGGAAATAAACTGTCAACACCATACACACACACACAAACCCACCACAAAATGATAGTAATAAATTCATACCTATCCATAATCACAATGAATGTAAATGGTTTAAATGTACCCGTCAAGAGACAGAGAGTGGCATGGTGGGTGGAAAAAGCAAACACTGGGATTACAGGTATTAAAAGGAGAAAAGGACCTCACCCAAGAGCCAACAAAGAGAGAAAGCCTTCCCCTAGAGCTGGCACACTAAATTCAGACTTCTACCCTCCTAAACTGTGATGGAAATTTCTGTTTGTTAAAGCCATCCACTTGTATGTCTGTTACAGCAACAAAGAGTAACTAAGATAACTCTGTAATTCAAAAAGAAAGGGACCTCAGATAAGCAAAACTCTACTGAAAAAGAAGGAGAAAATAGGAGGTCTTACACTCTCTGATCTCAAAATCTACTATACAGTCATGGTAGTCAAAAAAGCCTAGTATTGGTACAACGAGAGAGACACATAAACCAGTAAAACAGAGTTAAGAATCCAGAAATAGATCCATCCATCTATGAACAGCTGCTCTTTGACAAACAGCCAAAATCCACTAAATGAGGGAAGAGATGGGTTTTTTTTTAATAAATGGTGCTAGCAAAACTGGATTTCTATTTGCCGAAAAATGAAACAAGATCCTTACCTCACACCATACACAAAAACTAAGGATAGATCAGAGACCTATATGTAAAACCTAAAACTATAAAGTTCATCAAAGAAAAAAATAGGGGAAAACTTAGGAGACCCCATTTATTGTATAAATAGACTATCAAGATAACCAAAAATGCACAAACAGCAGAAGATAAACTCGATGACTAGGACCTCCTAAAAATTAAGTTCTTATGTGCATTAAAAGACTTCTCCAAAAGGGTAAAAAGAGAAATTACAAATTGGGAAAAAATATTTGGCAACAACATATCCAACAAGGGACTTATCTCTAAAATTCATAGATGTCAACACCTCAACTTCAAAAAGACAAAATGTCCAATTTAAAAATGAGCAGAGGACATGAACAGATGGTTCACCAAAAGAAGACATTCAGGTAGCCAACAAACACCTGAAGAAATGTTAGTGATCATTAGCCATTGTTGTTTTTGTTGTTATGTGCCATTGAGTTGGACCCGACTCATAGCGACCCCTCCTTGGGTTTCCGAGGCAGTATCACTACAGAAGTAGATTGCCCCATCTTCCTTCTGAGGAGTGGCTGGTGGATTTGAACCTCCAGCCTTCTGGTTAGCAGTCAGGTGCCTTAGGCACTAGGCTACCAGAGCTCAAAAATGTAATTCAAAACAACAATGAGAGACCATCTCATTCCAGCAATAATAGCAAAAGTTCAACCAGACAGAAAATAACATATGGTGGTGAGGATGTGGAGAGATTGGGACTCCCATTTACTGCTGGTGGGACTCATATGATACAATCACTGTGGAAATCAGTATGGCAATTCCTTAAAAAATTAGAAATAGAAATGCCATTTCAAATAGCAATCCCATTACTGGATCTTATCCTAAAGAAGTGAGAGCCAAAACACAAATAAATCCATGCACACTCATGTTCATCACAACACTACTCACAATAGCAAAGAGATGGAAACAACCTAAGTGACCATCAACAGAGGAATGGATAAACAAACTGCGGTACATACATACAATGGATTACTATGCAATCCTAAAGAATAATGTAGAATCTGCAGAACAATGCGTAACATGGATGAACTTGGAGAACACTATGCTGAGTGAAATAAGCCAATCACAGAAGGACAACTATTGTATTAGTCCACTATTGTACAAAGTCAAGGAAAAGTTTATACATGGAAGGAAACTTTTTTTGTTGGTTACCAGGGATGGGAGGGGAGGGGAGGAAAAATTCCTAGGTAGGTTGAAAAAAAAATGTATATATATAAACCAAAGATTATTAGTGGTTACCAGTGGTAGCAGGGAGGGGAAAAGCTTTTCCTTGCAGGGCATTGAGTTTATACTAATGGTGGTAGAATATTTTGGAAAAGGATAGCAATAGTGGTGACATGACATGAAAAATGTCATCAATATCCCTGAGCTGTAAGTGTGGAAATTGTTATGTTGGTGAATGTTCTTGTTGTGTATATGTATGGATAGAAACTTTCTTTGTTGGTTACCAGGGATGGGAGATGAGAGTAGAGAAATTCCAAGCTGGATAGTTAGTTAGTTCTTCTAGCAGTCCATAGTATTTTCAGTAATCTTCACATTATCAGTAATAAAAGTTTAAAAGAAAAAAAAAAAAAGACATCTCCCTAATTCATTCTATGAAGCCAGCATAACCCTGATACCAAAGCCAAGCAAAGACACCACTAAAACAGAATATTATAGACCAGTATCCCTCATGAATATAGACACAAAAATTCTCAACAAAATCTTAGTCAATAGAATTCACCAGCATATCAGAAATATAATACATCATGATCAAGTGGGATTCACACCATGGTGCAAGGATGGTTCAACATTAGAAAATAAATCAATGTAATTCACCACATTAATTTAAAAAAAAAAAAAAAAAGCATCACAAGATCATCATCTCAATCAATGCAGAAAAGGCATTTCACAAAATCCAATACCTTCCCTGAACAAACAAACAAACAAAAAAAAGCCTCAGCAAAATAGGAATAGAAGGGATAGCCCTCAACATAATTAAGGCCATATATACAGAAACAACAGCTAACATTACTCTCAGCCAACAAAGACTGGAAGCATTTCCCTTGGGAATGGAATAAGCCAACATGCCCTTTGTGACGACTCTTATTTAGTATTAGCTAGAGCTTTCAAGAAAGGGACATAAAGGGCATCTAAATTAGTAAGGAAGAAGTAAAACTATCCCTATTTGCAGATGACATGATCCTATACGTAGAAGATCACAGAGATGCCACAAAAAAGTTACTGGAACTAATAGAAGTCTTCAGCAAAGTGGCAGGTACAAGATCCACATACAAAAATCAGTTGGATTCCTCTACACTAACAAAGAGAACTCTGAAAAGGAAACCAGGAACATAACACCATTTGCAATAGCCCCCAAAAGGATAAGATACCTGGAATAAATCTAACTAGAGATGTAAAAGACTGTACAGGGAAAACCACAAAACACCACTGCAAGAAAACAAAGGAAACCTATGTAAATGGAAGAACATTCCATTCTCATGGATTGTAAGACTTATCTGTAAATAAAATACAGTCCCAATCGAAATTCCAACAATATTCTTTAATGAAATGGAAAAACAAATCTCCAACTTTGTGTGGAAGGGAAGGAGTCCTCTGATAGCTAAGGAAGAACAACAAAATAGGAGGCCACACACTTCCAGACCTCAGAAACTATTATTATGCAGCCACAGTAGTCAAAACAGTTTGATGCATATGACACACACAGACCAATGGAACAGACTTGAGAACCCAGAAATAAATCCATCCAGCTATGGATAGCTGATATTTGACAAAGCATTGAAGTCTATTAAATGGGAAGAGAAAATCTCTTTAACAAATGGTGCTGGCAAAACTGAACATTCATTTGCAGAAAAAATTAAACAGAATCCATATATATTTCACATCATACACAAAAACTAACCAACATGGAACAAATACCTAAATTTTAAACTTAAAACTATAAAATTCTTGGAAGAAAAGAACAAGGACAAAGCTAAGGGCCCTAATCTATGGCATAAGTAGAATATCAGACATAACTAAAAATGCTTCCAAATAGCCAGGAAGCACAAGAAAAGATGCTAAATATATCGTTGTTGTTGTTGTTGTTATTTGCCGTCAAGTCAGCCCCGACTCATAGATAGACTAAATATATTAGTCATTAAGAAAATTAAAACCACAATGAAGTACTGCCTCATATCATTAAGAACCATAAAAAATACGTTGCTGTTGAGTGTGAGATATAATCCATACTGAAGACTGTAGTCTTGATCTTTTAATGTAGCTGCTATAAAATTTGAACTTCATCTGTGACTGTATTGTTTTCTATTGGCCATTGCTGGTCAAATGTATGTAGGAGATGTAGAATCAATGAACCTGATGAAGACTGGGTAGAGTACGATTCCCTGTTTAGATTCCATGTATGACCTAAAGAGGAGACTTCCTTCCACCATTGCCAAGGCCCTGGGAATCACCAGCTCTTCTCTCCTTCCCAGGTTGTCATCTCTCAGAAGATACTAGAGATTGTACCCCATGCATATACGGAGTGGATTTCACCAATCATTCGAACACTCTCCCTTCCTGCCTACCCTGTACAGTTTGTAAACCAGGTACAGAATATACAGACTCTGGGCCCAGAGGTGGAATGTGGGACGACAATGTGGGAGTTGTAGCTGATGTGGAGTCAGAAAACTTGGACTCCAGTCCCAATTTGACCTTAAATATAACCTGAAACATGATTATGTCTTTGAGCCCATAAAATAAAATAACATAAAGGCAGAAATTAATTATATAAGCCATGCCACTTAATAGAGAAGAACATTTTAAGCTATCAGTAGGAAATTATGGGCTAAATAATGATGATAATAAACTGGTCTTTTATTGGGGAGACAGCATAGTTATCACTTAAGGAAAGGTGTAGCAGGGGGAAGAGCTTGATGTGAAGCTGCTGACCTGGATCTGGTCCTGGGCCATCATCTTCCTAGCTCTATGTCTGCTCTTGACCAAGTGCTCAGCCTCTCATCCATGACTTCAAAAGCTCCTCCACTGTCTCTTAGCAGGGACAGACTTTTTAGGGGAATCTGACCAAGAGTTCATCTGCATCCAGGGTCTCTCACTTATTACCCCATCAATTGCTATTGACCATATGATCCAAAAGATGTTTCCTCCCAAAACTCATGCATTATCTAATGAATGCTGTTCTACTCTTTTTTTCATAACTGTGCTGACCACTGAGTGATGGTTGTATTTTATGTAGTCTTGTCTGTTTCTGCAGAAACTGGCCTTGAAACCTATGTGGTGAACTGAGTTAAGCTGAGTTGGAAGGAGTTTGGGTGGTTGAGGAATAAGTCAAGGAAATACATCTGTATGTAAATGCTTGTCCTTTGTCTCCAGATGAAGACAAGGTACGTCCGTGCACCCTCACCAGAGACACGGAGTGTCGATGCAAAGCTGGCTATTTCCATGGAGAAGATGCCCCTGAGATCTGCTCCAAGTGCAGCACTGGGTGAGACACAGGGCCAAGGGGTTCCCACCAGCTCAAGGGAGCCAACAGAAGACCTGAGGTTTCCTTTCACCCCATTCTCTCCCCTCCTTCCATCAAGTCCCCTCAAGCCCCCAGAGGGCTTCCCTGGGCCCATGGGTCTCCTGAGCCTGCATGTCCCCTCCTCATCCATCTGCATGTCCCACCACTGTCCCTGCAGCCATCTATTCCCATTCCCCTCAGCACTTTTTCCTTTGAACCACTTCAGCTCTCTACTGGAGATATTAGTCAGTCCTTAAGTCCAATGATACTTTCAGAGCTCACACAAATTCTTTAATTTCATTTAAAATGAAGAGAAAATAATTGGCTAGAAACAGTCTTGGATTACATTCATCTTTATACCAGTGCATTATAAACTATAATTCTTATTTCATTTTTATGGCAAAAGGGACCCATGAGGAGAAAATTATTAAGGCCCCAGAAAGACATGGTGAGGCCATGTGTCAAGCTTTTTAAAGTCCTCTCTTTAAGCGTCACATAAAGTTCAGTGCCAACTCAGCCTGCCTCACCCTCACCCATTCCCTCAATAACTCCTGTCTTTTCCCTGTTCAGAAGTTTTTGGCACCAAGACTTTCTTCACTATTCTCTTATGCTCTAGTGTCTGCTACAGTGGAGATAGGAAGGAGTCAGCCAGGGGCTGGTGAAAGGTTGATGCTATTAGTGAGGAAAGGTTGACTGGAGGAGATGGCTCAGCTTGTGGCCCATGGGCTTTCCTGATGCTGTACCTGCAGTGAAATCCCTCTGACGTTGTGGCCATCCCCCTTGCTGCCAGGGAAGTTCACTGTGTGGGCTCCACAGACAAGGCCAGGCCTGAACCAGGTGGCTCTGAGATCTGCTCAGGTAACCCCAGGGGTTGGATTGTACATGCTTGGATCCTTCCCAGACCCAACAGAAGAGTGAGGGAGGCTTTACCCTTGGACACTAGAGAGTCAGGTTCTTCATCTAACATCTTGTCAGGGGACACTGGGGAGAGTGTTACTCTCTCTTCTCTTATCAGCCCTCACTAACAGCAGCTTTCATTTCTCCCTGTGTCTGTTCCTAGGTGCCCCACTGGAATGATTCAAGACAGCCCCTGTACCCCTTGGAGTGACCTGAAATGTGTCCCCAGAAAAGCAGGTACCAAGAGCACTGGGGAAGCCACAGTTTCTGGAGAGCAAGTGACCATTGGCCCGAGGACTTCCACCATGCCCTTTCCTTCCTCAGGCTTTGGAAATCTAAATGCCGTTATAGGCACAGTTGTCGGGATACTTCTTGTGTTGCTTCTGGTATTTTGCTGTTGGTGCTATTTTCAAGGTGAGGCAAGATGGGAGTGAAGGTAGGGGTGGGCGCTGGGTCACTGTTTGCTGCTTCCTTTGTTTTCTCCTCATCTGTCTGGGACCACACAGGCCCTCAATCATACCCAGCCCCATCACATGATGGTCCCGTCAGCTCCCTGACCATGTCTAGCAGGGAGGGGCCTTTTCTTTACTTCTCAAGGCCCCACCAGGAAAGAGGAGCTGTCAGTCCCTGATGGGGTGACTTTATTATTTCCCATCTCTCCTCCCCTCCCCGATGTGCCCCTAGAGTTGGAAACAGCCCATCCCTGTCCTCTTCATACCCTGAGTCCATTAGTCCCAGGGCTCTTTGTTCAGAATCTGAGTCCCCAGCTGAAACACTGAAGGTCACCCCTGCCCTGGGGGGAAGCTGGAGCTGCAAAATGGGTCTCTCCCTCTCCACTTGCTAAAGGAGATGGTCCTTCTCTTCCAGGTTATGAAATGTTCACCAGGTTCCTGAACAGAGTGAGTTGATGTGATCCTTTGCTGAGACTATCAGCTCTTAGGAGCTGTTTCCCATTCACACAAAGTCCCAGATGAGCTGGCTTCCAGATGTATGTGTCCTGTGCTATCCCCTCAGCTCTCCAGCTGAGTATAAATTGGCAGGTGGCCCATGTGACTCCCCAGGCCAGCTGTGGTACAGGAGTCCTGTCCTTCTGCTGCTTGGGAGATGCCCTCACCCACACACCATACCCTCTGTGGACAGGGGGTGAACCCACCTCTGGCATTTCTCCAGGGTCCTGATGCAGCAGCAGAGCTGGGATGTGCTGAGCTGTGTAGCCACCTGGGATGACATCCTTGGGAGGGAAGAGGAGACAGGATAACAGGGGCCTTGGATGTGCATCCCTGAGTGGGTCTCTTCATCTTCTCTAGGTCTTGCTCTGGCTGTGCACCAAAATAAGTCCTGGAGCTCATGACAATGCTCACAATGAGGCCCTGAGCAATGGGAAATCACAGTCCGTGCTGGACCTTGAGCTGGAAAGGGAAGACCAGGAACAGGCTGAGGTGACAGGTGCCATGAGACAGAACCCAGTAGAAGGAGAGCCTTTCCTGGTGAGTAAGTGACATTGTGCATGGCCCTGTCCCTTCTTGTTCACCCAGTAGTCTTAGTAGGAAGAGGGAAGGTAGTACCCCATCAGCTCTCCTGGGTCATGGGGACATTAGAGGGATCAGGGATCTGAAGGAAGGGAAGAGGCTGCATGCTCACCCTGATGCAGCATTATCTGTTTTTATTGTCTGTCTTGTTCTCACTATTTCCCTAGAGCTACAGCAGTGAGCACTCTGATATTTCTTAAATGACTGACTACAAGCTACACGATATTCCACTGTGTGGTTAAAACAGATGTAGTAAACCATCTTTATACCATTAGGAATTTCAAGTTTATTTCAAAATTATTATATTGAACATATTTGAAAATGAATCTTTATTGAGATTTCTAATGTTTGTAGGTATCTTCTTTAAAAGAAGTGGAATTTCTGGGTAATGTGGAGAAGTGCTTTTTTTAAAAAAAAAAATAAAATAATATTACATTGAATTTTTGGTGAAAGTTTACACTGCAAGTTAGGTTCTCGTTTGACAGGTTTCACACAAATTGTTCAGTGGCATTAGTTCCATTTATCATACTTTGTCAGCATTCTCTTTAATTGTGTTTTCTTTGCTCCCTTTCCAGTACAGGCATACCCCATTTTATTGTGCTTTGCAGCTATTCCATTTTTTTACAGTGTGAAGGTTTGTGGCACTTCTGTGTTGAGCAAGTCTGTCAGCACCATTTTTCCTACAATGTGCTCATTTCATGTCTCTCTTACATTTTGGTAATTCTCACAATATTTCAAACTTTTTCATAAAGCTATTGCACACTTACTAGACTGTAGTATAGTGTAAACATAACTTTTATGTGTGTTAGGAAACCAAAACATTCACACAACTCACTTTATTGCAATATTCACTTTTTTGCAGTGTTCTGGAAACAAACACACAATATCTCCAAGGTATGCCTGTACTCTAGTTTCCCTGCCCCCTCATCTTTTCTTCTCTGCTTTTGAGTAATTATTGACCTTTTAGTGTTAGAGTTTTTAGCTCTATGCTCTATCATATGGATAACATCCTTTATTTTGTGTGCCACTCTGCTATTTCACGATAAAGTGATTTCAGGGGATAGGCTTTGTGGTAGTTAAGGTTGTGTGTCAACTTGGCTGGGCCTGGCCGAGTGGATGGGCAGCTGTGGTAGTTATTATCCATGATGAGACTGGCAAAAAAGTCATGGTGGCATATACCATAAGCAACTGAGTAGCTGCTTTAGGGATGTGGTCTGCTTCCCATATATAAGTATTCGATAGTTTTCTTATCAAAGAAGATAATATTCATTAATACAAATATTTTATTATAACTCAAGTAAAATAATTTTATCTACTTCTTACCAAGAATGAGCACTGTGGCATAGTGGGTAAGGCATTTGACTGCTAACCAAGTGATCGGTGGTTCATACCCATAAGCTGCTCTGTGGGAGGAAGATGTAGCAATCTACTTCTGTAAAGATTTACAGCCTTGGAAACCCGATAGAGATTACTATGAATAGGAATTGACTCAATGGAAGTGGGTTTATTGGTTTACTCCAAAACTCATGCCTTTTATTTTTGTTTCATGTCTTGTTTATAAACTCAGAACTCTCAGAACAATGCTCAATGTGCTGTGAGAAAGAGACATTTGGTCTTATTTTGACTGTGTTTGAAAGACCTATAGTATTTCACCATGAATAATAATGCTGGATCTTGTTTGATATAGAAATTGTTATCATTATGACAAGAACCTCCTATTTTTAAGATGTTCTCTAATTTTCTAAAACCCAGAATTGGTGGTTAATTTTATCACAAATCATTTCAACCTCTATTGGAGCTATCTGATGTTTCATTTTGTTATTTAAACTTATACTTATTAAAGCACCCCTGCTTTCTGGAATAAACCTTTTTTAGATTTTCCAAAATGCCTTCATATATATTCTTCTATTTGAGTCTCATAGAAGCCTGTGAGAACCTGGTTATCCCCTGTTGGGCTAATTGAAAATTGATGGGGATGGGGCAGAAGGGAACTCTCTGGGGTCAGAGAAATGGTCCATGTCTTGGTGCGAGTGTTGATTACACAGGTGTGAACAGTTACCAGAACTGGAATGGAACATGTAGCGTCTGTTCGTCTCACACATGTCATGTATGCCTCATGAGCAAATAAGCAAACAGTGCCTGTGAAGGATGTAGGCTATGAGGTCTATCTCAGATCTCGGTCATTCTCAGAGGGGACACTGGCATGGCCCAGGTCACACAGTTGGCTGGGTGTCAAGTGTCAATTCTAGAGTCCAGGACTCCTGACTTAGATTCAAGGATGTTCTCCACTGTCTTTTATAGAGACATCCAAACGCTGAAGGATCTCAGACAAGAAGGATGCTGCTGGTTTTAGCAAATGATGCAGACCCCACTGAAAGTAAGTGTTTTGTTCAGGGAAGTGCTGTGTAAAAAAATGAATGAATTATATCTCATTAATAATTTTGTGTATTGATTACATGTTCAAATAGTATTTTATTACAAATATATTGAATTACATGAAATGAATAACTAAAATTAATGTCACATTTTTCCCTTATAAAAGCCATTTGGAAACATGACATTTTATTTGTGCCTCAACTTATATTTCTATAGGACTGAAATGTCAAAGCATTTTACACACATCTCATTTAATCCCCACCGCTGTGCCCTGAGATGTGGGTGGTGTTTTGCTCCATCTTACAGCTTAAATTGTTCCTCAGAGTTTATTTGCCCCTTGTAGCTCTGCCACAGACAGAGTCAGTGAGGTCAAGGTGAGGTCAAGCCAGAGATTTCCTACCTCTAGGACATTGTTCTTTCCACTAAGGCAGATGCTCCAGTCATCAGATCTGACTCTCATGATAAACACGGCCTAAGCAGTGTCCCTCCTCTGAGATCCTGTTGTACCCATGGTCTGTCCTTCTCTGGCTAGTACCATAGGTTTCTTTATCCACCATGACCCATCTTGTCTCCTCAGGTGTGGTGTCAGCCCTCCCCTAGGGCAAGACTCTCTGTCAATCTTAACTGCCCTCCCCCATGCCTTGTATGTGATGAGGGCCAGGCAGTGATGCCTGACCCTCTGCAGAGGGGAAGCAGGTGGGGGACATGGAGCAACAGGTGGACCACAATAAGGAGGTCATTAGGGTCTATCCTAGGGTCCTAAGCCCAGGCCTTTTCTGAGGTGTGTCTCATTCTGTCTTTATTCTCACACAGCTTTGAAGTCATTCTTTGATTACTTTACAAGTGTAGTGCCCTTTAACTCCTGGAACAAAGTCATGCGGAGGATGGGTCTCACAGACAATGAAATCTCTATGGCCAGAGAGAGTGGAGTGTGCCCTGAGGACAAGCTATACAACATGCTAAACAAATGGCTCCTCAAAACCGGAAAGGAGGCCTCTGTCAACACCTTTCTGGATGCCTTGGAAACAGTAGGAGAAAGAAATGCAAAAGAGAGAATTCAGGACCACCTGGTGGACTCTGGAAAGTATACCTATGAAGAATATGAGGCAGACAGTCTCTGATGTATGCATGGGAGTGAAATTGCTTCATGAAGTTAGTGTCCCTAGTTTACCTTTTTTCCTGAAAAGGGATACACGATTGGACACCAGCTGGGAATAAACAGCCAAAATTTTGATGTGAACAGGACATGAAGACACTCTGCCATCAACTACCACGTAGCAGTTAGAATGTTCCCGAACTTTTGCAGTGGATTTAGAGTAATTTTTATAAAATGTTGTCTGTTTTAAGCAAACTGTACAATTGTATAAAAAAAGAAATATGATTGTACATATTGCACACTTATTTGTGTGAATTAGTTGAGATTTTATTTAAGAACCTTATTCTTTTGGTTCATAGCACTTTTGCATTATGTTAGGAATTAGTTCCTTTCTTTGTACTTGGTGTATTATAAGATTATGTCTTTGATATTATATGATGTGAATCTTTCTATATTTATCTTTTTGTGTAAGATTATATTGTTGTTTGTTGAACTGGGTCCAACTCATAGCTACCTTGTACATAACTGGATGAAACATTTCCCAGTCTTGCACTGTTATGGTTGAATTGTGTTCTCCCCAAAGTACGTGCTGTAAATCCTAACCTCTATGCCTGAGGTTATAATCCCATTTGGGAATGATTTTTCTTTGTAACGTTAATGAAACAGGATTAGTGTAGGGTGTGTATTAATTCAATCTCTATGGAAGTAGATTGCCCAGTCTTCCTTCCCAGGAGTGGTTTGTCAGTTTGAACTGCCAGCCTCCTTGTTAGTAGTCAAATGCCTTACACACTACACCACCAGAACTCCCCTTTTGAGATATAAAAGAGATTAAACAAGCAAGTGAAAGAAGCAGAGATGGGGAAAGAGAGATGTCAAGCCACATGAAGGTCACCTAGGAGTAGAAGCTCAAAAAAGAGAAAGACTTTCCTCTACAGTTGCTAGAGAGAGAAAGCCTTCCCCTAGAGAGAGCACCCTGAATTTGGACTTTTTGCCTCCTAAACTGTGGGAAAGGAACTCTGGTGGCGTAGTGCCTAAGGAATCTGACTGCTAACCAGAAGGTTCATGGTTCAAACCCACCGGCTACTCTGCAGAAGGAAGACTGGACAATCTACTTCCATAAAGATTTACCCCCTTGGAAACCCAAAGGGGGTTGCTATGTCAGAATCGACTCAATGGCAGTGAGTTTTTTTGTTTTTGGTTTATACTGTGAGAAAATTAATATGTTTGTTAAAGCCATGTACTTTAGGTAGTTCTGTTATAGCAGCACTAGAAGACATGCACCATTTTCACAATCATCTGTATGTCTGAATCCATTGTTGCAGCTGTTGTGTCAATTCATCTCATTGAGGGTTTTCCTCATTTAAGTTGAACCTGTACTTTGCCAACCATGATAGCCTTTTATAGCAGTTGGTCCTTCCTGATGAAGTGTCTGAAGTAGCAAGTTGAAGGCTTGCTATCCTTTCTTCTTAGGAAAATTATGGCTGTACTACATCCAAGACTGATCTGATCATACTTCTGGAAGTCTGTAGTATATTCAATATTCTCACCAACATCACATTTTGAATACATCAATTCCGTTTTCCATTGTCATAGTCCAGCTTTTGCATGTATGTGAGGTGATTGAAAATACCATGGCTTAGAGCAAGCACACCTTAGTTATCAAAGTGACATCTTTACTTTTCAAGATTTTAAAGAGGTCTTTTGCAGCAGGTTTGCCCAATGCAATACTTTGTTGTTGACTGCTACTTGCATAGGTATTGTTTGTTGATCCAAGTAAAATGAAATACTTGGTAACTTCAATTTCTTCACCATTTATCATGATGTTTTGTGTTGGTCCCAGTGTAAGATTATATGAATATGGAGAAATTATGTAAATATACTCCCTAAGTTGTTTATAGGGGTTACCTGGGTGAGAGTACAGATGAAAAAATGATTAGCAATCAAAAAGGGAATGAGGAAGTAACCCTAATCTGTGTGTTTGAACTGATTGGGTTTCGGTTGCCTTTAAATGCACTTTGAACCCAGACAGGTCTGGATGACTGGCAATTTCTAAAGGGACCAGTTTTTGAAACTTGACAATTTTATAGGTATATGATTATTTATTTATTTATAAGGAGACGATGACAAATTTGGGAGATCTGGTGGTGCAGTGCCTAAGGCATTTGACTGCTAACCAGAAAGCAGAAACCCACCAGCCACTCCTCAGAAGAAAGACTGGGCAATCTACTTCCGTAGAGATACTGCCTTGGAAACCCAAGGAGGGGTCGCTGTGAGTTGGAATCGACTTGACAGCAGTGAATTTGGTTTTGGCTGGTTTGATGACGAATTTAGAGGGTCTTGAGAAGTATTATCTATGTGAAGCCCATGTTTCTGGCTTGTCCACATGCCAGGCAGTCAGTTTGGGCCTCTATTTACTGTCTCTGCACAAGGGTGGGAGTGTAGGACATAGGGCTAGATTTGAGATGGAAAATGGTTTTATTTCGTGTGCCATTTATGATGAAGGGGAAGTCTGGTGGCATAGTGTCTAAGACATCTGACTGCTAACCAGAAGACTGGGGGTTCAAACCCACCAGCCACTCCTCAGAAGGAAGATTGGGCAATCTCCTTCCATAGTGATACCACCTCAGAAAACCAAGGAGGGGTCGCTATGAGTCCAATCGACTCAATAGCAGTGAGTTTGGCTTTTTGGTTTTAAACAGCCTTTTGGGGTCTGGATTTTTATCAGAGCAGCGTAGATTTCTGTAACCATCTGATGTCTACATAAAAAAATATTGACACATAATCAAGCAATTCGTAAATAATGGGCCACAGAAATGGCTGATACATTAGGATTCTATCATTTTATTGTTTTCTCTAATTTTTCTACATTTTCAGTAACCATTTCAGTTCTTCTGCCAAACCTTTCTCCACAGTGTTTCAGCCATGGCATGATAGTCTTACTGAGGTAGTAATTCTTAGAGGTTTCGATTTTTACATCTCAAGGCTTTGTATATACCTCTTTCTAGGAACTGATATGACTGGAGCAAAAATAGAATTTCCTGAAAATGCAGTCACATTAAGGGTATTGGTATTTCACTAGAGTTTGATAGTTGCGGGTTGAGGGAGACATGGAGGCCGCAGGGGCTCTGGTGCTAACATCCCTCTCTCACTTGGAGGTCCAGCTATACTGGTCACCTTTCGTTACCTCAAATGCACAAGTGTTCACTGCCTCATTGCTTTGCATTTTCTGTTCTTATATAATTCTGTATATAATGCTCTGCCATTATATCTCTAGGTGAATGCATTTACACTTGTCAATAAGGTTTCATCTCACTTATACATTTCTCAGAGGACTTCTACTGCCATCTAAAGTAGTAGCCTCATCAAGATTCATCATGTTTACTTATTTATTTACATGCCATCATATTTCTTATACTAGACACTAAGCTTCATGAGAACATATTTTCTTGTTGGTTTTGTTTTTGTTGTTTTATACCCAGTGCAAATAGCCCATGGTGATTACTAAATATTTCTTTAATGACTGTATAACTTTTCTTGTGGAAGGTCCCTTCCTGGCAGAATTTGTTGGCAACAACAAACAATACAAGGAAGGTCATTAGGTACAAAGTACTAATGTATTTTTGAATTCTTGACCAAATTAAACATGAAAGTTTTATCAAAAGAAATGTGTGTGTGTTTTTCTCCTTCATCCTCCCATTCTCCCCCCAAACACCTCTGGATGGCATGAGTATAGGAGTATATATTCTTGCTTTGGAACTCACTGCTGCTTTTCCCCCTTTGGGTTTGCCCTGCATGGGTGTGTTTTGTGCTTCTGCCTCCCCTGAATTTCAAAGTGTAAGTTCATGGGGAATTGGAATTCAGTACCTCCTCCTCTCCCTCTGCTGTCTGCCCTTCTCTTCTTGGAAGAGGAGACATGAGCTTTGACCTAATCCCCATAGCCTCCAAGGGTGGTTTCTCTAGGTTGCATCTGGACCTGCTGAACAGAGCAGTTGGGGAAGGAACAGTGCATCCCTGAGGAGTTAGCTGGCCCTGGTTGCTAGGTAGTTCTGTAGCCACTCTCCTGTCTGCTTCTTCCAGTTCCTTGGCCAACCTTCCCTTCCACCTACCGGCCTCTTCTCCATCCTCATCAGTGGACCCAGATTGCTCAGCCTACAAGCTGCTTAGAGACCCATTTCCCCTCCCCTTGCTGTTTAGGATCCAGCTCTCCCTCCTACCTACAGTTCATGGGAGGCCCCATGGCCCAGCATGCAGGTATGTTCCCTATAGTGATGAAGTGATGGGTCAGAGTACAGCTCTCATCTCCTCTCATTGGACCTCTTCCTGACTATTCCCATTCACTCATCAGCCTCTCCCTTGAAGCCATAAATGTGAGCTCAACTGAAACAGAGACAGCACACAGCTGGCTTTCCAGGCCAGTCAACCTGGAGGAAGTCTTGTACTGGAAGGCTGCTACAGCCTTGGAGGAGCCTAGTGCCCAGTCACTCCTTGATCTGCAACCTCCTGCTCACCTTGATGAAGATTTAACCTCAAATCTGTTGGTCTAGCAAAACAAAATAGTTACAAAATTTTCATGTGATATTTGTTTGCTCTATTCTAGACCTAAAAAGGAGCTCTGGTGGCACAGTGCCTAAGATTTGACTGCTAACCAGAAAGTCAGCAGTTAAAACCCACCAGCCCTTCCAAGGAATTTACTGCCTTGGAAACCCAATGGGGGTTGCTATGAGTCGGAATCAACTAAATGGCAGTGAAATTGGAATTTTGGTGTTCTAGACTCTGGTAGCACAGTGCCTAAGGCACTTGACTGCTAACCAGAAGGCTGGTGTTCAAACCCACCAGCCACTCCTCGGAAGGAAGATTGGGCAATCTACTTTCACAGTGATACTGCCTCTGAAACCCAAGGAGGGGTTGCTATGAGTCGGGTCTGACTCTACAGCACATAACAACAACAACAATAACAGACCTAAAACCAGAATTTTTACTGTGGAGTCCCACCCAGATTCTGGGACCAAAAATCAATCCCTCTTC